CTCCCGATCGATCGGGAGCGGGTGGTATAGTGTGCGGGGGCTTAGTGCTGTGCACAGTGCAAAATCGTATAGTGTGCGGCTAGCAAAACTCTTTTCACCTACACCGTACATAGCTACCCATAGTGCAACCAAAAACACACCTACCTATTTTAGCTAAAAAAACAAGTAGTACAAAGCTAGTGGTTCACCTTCTATCACATATATAATGATAATGGAGTATGCATGGGAGCATATACAAATAGATTTTTACATGGACTTATGACTGACATACACCAGTTCATAACGCACGACAGTAATCACAACAATAGTGTTATAAATTGTAGTTACAAATATATTACAAAGATACACATGAAGACTATAAGACTGTGGATTAGCTCTGCCTACCTCCTCAGACTGCTTGCAGACAGCAAGGCAATGAGACAGCGAGGACAGCACCTGCCTGGACGTGCCGACCATCCTTGAAAGCTCTGTCCCAACATCTACATCTGAAAAAATTGCACGCAAAAACATAACTGCTGTTTACTAATTCACGTAAATTAGCAAGGGGCGCTTTCCTAAAAAAAACTGTCAAGCAAGTAATGGGGTGTCAATATCCAAATGAACATCACTCATGGTATGGAAATATTTCCATCATGGCATTTGTGTTCTGTGGTAGTCGTACTGCTCCATTAAAGAGAATACACATCATAAACAGTTTTAATGATCTGACAACATTGCGTTTTCACATTTACACAGTTGTGGCATTAACAGAGAAGTTCAGAATTCAGTTCATGACACAATTTCTATACATGTAATCAGGAGTGAATAATAATAAATTCTATTATTATTCAATAATAGATTCTATTATTATTCAATAATATATCTATTATTATTCACTCCCGATGTAATGTACAAACTTACGTGTGTTGCTAGACATGATGGCTTTCGCACTAGACTGTTCTACCAGGTGACATACATCTGCCACTTGTTTCTCAAGCACCTGATGGTTGGCAACTGCAATCTAAAAAGTAGATTCAACTCTACTTTCATCATGCAGGATATGTCAATAATTCTATGAGGAAATACATATTCGCATGACCTTGGTAAGCTACAAGTCAATTAATGTATTATAATATATGTATATAATGTCAAAAAATTAGATTCGTCTATACTTTCATCATGCAAGACAAGTCAATAAGTCTATTATATGAGGAAATACATCTTTGCATCACCTTGGTAAGCCACAAGTCAAATAATGTATTCCAATATGTATATGTCAAAAAATTAGATTCGTCTATACTTTCATCATGCAGGATAAGTCAATATATCTACGGGGGAAATACATCTTTGCATCACCTTGGTAAGCCACAAGTCAAATAATGTATTCCAATATGTATATAACATCAAAAATTAGATTCGTCTTTACTTTAATCATGCAGGATAAGTCAATATGTCTATGAGGAAATAATCAAATAATGTACCTCAAGTGCATCCTGCATGGATCCAAGATGCTGTAGCTCCCCAGCCTCATCATCCTCATCACTACCAGCATACCTGCCTCCTCGCCTCACTAGATTACTGCTGTAGCAGATGTGAAGCTGCACTGCATTTATCCACCGCTGCAATGTAATTAACATCACTTACCAACGAACAGAAATTAAAAACAACACGCACGTACATGAGTTCACACGTGACAAAATAAACGAAACAACACAAGGGAATCGTAATTTACTACTTTGATACTTAATATCGCATTCCAGAAATGTATTATATGCCACTAGTGTTGTCAATCAGTTGTAATTTCGCAATCGATCATCGGTTGGACCCAAGTAACCGATGATCGGTTACAATCGGTTACTCGGGGTGTTGAATGCCTGCGTGTGCATGTACGTGTGTGCATGTACGTGTGTGCATGTATGTGCTTGTTTAGCCCTGTTTACCTCCGCCAAGGGGTTGGCAGAAGGTTATGTTTTCACTGGCGTGTGTTTGTTCGGCGTGTTTGTTGGTTTGTGGGTTTGTTTGTGTAACAGCCTAACTGAAAAAGTTATGGACGGATTGTCATAGTTTTCAGGATAGGTCAAAAATGGGATAACTTACTTACCCTAACCCTAACCCTAACTTAGAATTGATTACATTTTGGTGGTGATTCGGATCAATTCATTAATTAAATTTTTCACAGTGAGAATTGAGCTGCCTTGGCGGAGGTCTGCGCTCTCCGAGTGCTCTAGTTACTGTTTGTTTTGCACTGTTTACTACTGTGTGTATAATACATGTATGTTACTGAAGGATAACTTGTATAGTAGCGATGATATCTCTGATTCTCATCACTTTTCCAAGTCAAAGTTCAAGTTTTACATTTACTTCAATTTTTATTTTTTTTGATGAAATCGATTATGGATTTTGATAACCAAGCGCTTGGTTAGAGCCACTGTTCAACTGATGATCGAGTATAATCGATGATCGTGACGTCACTATATGCCACACATATTGCGAAATGATAACAGAAGTACTTGGGATGTTCAGATGTTCTCAACAGATTTAATATTACCTACCTGTCTTGAAACTTTCTGTCCTTCCTCTCTTGGCACGACACTTAGAGTGTGACAGGATTTATCACTAAATGTGATCACAAATGCATAGTCGTCACCTGGCTTCATCTGAAATAAAAGTACGATGAGTATAGTATTCTCATTAGTTTCACTAGTGCGTATATAGCATCAACATAAACAGAAACTTCACTGGTATAAATTTTAACTTTTGGGTCGCTTTAACAAATTTACAAGAACAGATTTCAAAACATGAATCAGTTCCTATTTTCTAGCAAGATAATTTTTAATACAAGACCTGGGGGCCGTTGTCAGAAGCATCGTAAAGCTAATGCTAATGTTAATGCCAAGATAACACTTACGACTAATGTTAATGTTACGAGAGGAGCGTTGACAGAAACACATCGCAGCTATTAGAAAACTTACGATAACAGGACCGTCATCACAAGGCTGCTGATTAGATGAGAATCAATCACAAAATTCAAATTCATACACATTTATTGTACATCACAGTTTTAATGTGAAACTTATAATTCACAGTTTTAATGTGAGTTAATAATGACAAACTTGACAAACAAATTTGTCATTATTAACTCCTGATATTATGATGGCTAACCACAAATAATATTTGATGAAAAACGACGCGGTCATGAATTTATTCTGCACAACAAGACAAATTCTCACACTGTAACACGAGACGCGAGAATTGTGGCCAGTAGCAAACAATATTAAACAAGAGAACAAATGCCATATGCCATTTGTAAACGTTTTGTTGTTTTATGATCGGTAGATAATTAATGTTTTTGACGTGTTTTTAAAGAAAACACACACTTTACTCATTATTATAAAATATAATATCACTATAATTGTAATTTGTAGTGTAAATGTGTTATTTTCATCTTAATATTAAAGTTACGAGAGGGTCTGGGCTCTCGTAATGTTAAGAGGATATTTTCGATGATTTTTCGTTCTCGTAACATTACTATGTTTCTGTCAACGGTTTACGAGTGGAAGTTATAGTGTTAAGACTAATGTTAAGACTAATTTTGTTTCTGACAACGGGCCCCAGAATTACATCATATATCCAAATCTTCAACAATCATTAACGACTGTTAATTGTCTGTTTTGTAATGGCCTAGATTAAGCCGTAATCAGATTTAATTTTGATTTTTTATTCTTGCTGCCCTTCGTATAAACAATCAATACACTCACATTAATCGTCGCATCTTCCATATACTTGTAATGCTTGCGTTTGATGCCTGAACTGCCGTCCGCTCTATGGTTAAAGTATGAGATAACTCCTCTTTCCACCACCACCCACCATTGTTTCCACGAGCCAAGCACCCTGCTCTTCTGCAATACCAAAAAAAAAACATGAAATCAGTGGCGTAGTTAGATTGATGATTATTCAGAATGATTACTCCAAGGTTGTATGGAGCATGTGTGTGTGTGTGTGTATGTGCGTGTGTGTGTGTGTATGTGCCTGTGCGTGCGTGCATGCGTGCGCAGTGGCGTAGTTATGGGGGGGGGGGCAAAGGGGGCCATGGCCCCCCTGTTGATCTGAAAGTAAAAAATAAAAAATAAAATAAGAATTGTTCTACTAAAAAGAGAAAGTGCCTCAAGTACCATCTCCTGCGATCTACATTTGCCAAATTTTCTGGGGGAGGACCCCCATACCCCCCACCTGTGTTTCACCCCCTCCTCGTAATTCTGGATCCACCACTGAACAGTTACATATCTAGGGAGCAGAGAACAACGAACACAAACGTCGCCCTTTTACATGGCATCCAAAACAAAGATTGCAGAGCTGAGAGGCGAGGGAACATAGGGCATGGAGAGGGAAGCGGAGGAACCATTAAAATATTAAGTCATCCACTATTTTGCGCAGTTCGCTGTTTTTGCCCCCCCCCCTGTTAAAAAATCCTATGCTATGCCACTACACGAAATGTTACCAAATACCAATACCAAAGAATGCATTACAAGGAACTACACTGCAAGCCTGCTGCAATAATCAAAATATCCATAGCTAAAATATGAATAAAATTTAGCAAGTAAAAAAACACAAGTTCAATCAGAGAGGTAAAGAGTGACTGACCCTCAACAAACCATTTGAGAATGGGCATGCTGTCAATATAACAGAGGACAGGCTGAAAAACATGTGAACCTGGAGTCAAACATTCCCATTTTTATTGTTAAGGACCATTGATAACACTTCGAAACTTATACCATGAATATATTTATAACTTATTATATAAAAAAGCATTTCAAAAGTTATAAAATATGCACTATGCTCTCTGTTCAGGTTGTCTGCGCATTGTCAAATCAGGACGGACTCATCGTTTGTCCATCTAGCAGAGAGCTGTCCTAGGTTATAGTTATGGTTTACCACATTACCACATAAGTGAGTACACATGTGATATCGCTGCCAAACACTTGGTATAGATGTACCCAATGCTTTTGACACAGGCGACACAAGGCGACAGGTAGTTAAATAACCAATACAGGTGTGTCAGTTCAGTAGAGTTTGAAAAGCACACTGCAATGACACCATGATGCGAAGTTGACAGTACTTCAAGTAATCACCCAGGCTGGTAAATAAATTTACTGTCACTGAAATTAGTGTTACCCCAATATTACCCTTGCAAGAGGACGCTCAAATCAAATTAGTGTTACCCCAATATTACCCTTGCAAGAGGACCCTCAAATCAAAGTAGTGTTACCCCAATATTACCCTTGCAAGAGGACCCTCATTTCTAATGTGATTGTACCGCATGAAATTTTTAAATGTAGCCGTAATTTTAAACCTACAAATCAAGCTGAAAAATAACCCTAGAACTTAGAGCTTAAGGCGCGTTCACAAGACGGACGTTTTTGGCCCGAGCCTAATTAGGCCCCGTGCCAGATTTGGCTCGAGCCGAGCGTTTTCACACGACGTTTTTGGCCCGAGCCTGAATTAGGGCCCGTGCCAGATTTGGTCCCATCGAAAACGTCGGACCAGGCCCGAGCCAAATTTTAGCACACGAGCTTTCGGCGAGAGTAGAACGGTAGAATCGGTTGAGCGGTAGATGCTGCGAGTGTCAAAACGTGTACTTTCGACGAAATAAAGTCCAAAACAGTATAAAAAATTCGACAAATTTGATCAGGATGCGCACGTTTTTCAAACATTAATAATTGAACTCGAAACGTAAGTAAACACTCTAAGATCGTACACAACGCCATCTCGCGACATACTGTCAAAGTATCTGTTAATAATTTGTGCAATAAAATTTTTATTTGAATTTGAATTTGAAATTTGACAGACAGTATTTACCTCCCCCCTAACTTGCGTACGTGGAACGCTCGCGACTCAAACCGGCCGCGAGCCAAATTTGGCCCGAGCCAAATCTAGCCCATTTGGCCCGAGCCAAATCATGACCGTGTGAACGCGGCTTTAGGGTCAAGTATTTCTTTAACTGTATTGGTAGTGAATGTGACTAGTTGGGCTAATTAATTCATATTTACAGTTCTTAAAAGATGAATCCAGTATTGGAACCAGAGCTTACTCCTGAGAACCTACTGTTACATGCATCCAGGAATGGAATGGTTGGCCAGGTCAGAGACTTAATTCAGGCAAGACATGAGGGCAGCTTAAGCTTTGATCTGAATGCAAGAGGTACAGCCCATTAACTTATTATCTTGTTTTTTTAAAAACTGTTTTTCTTGTCTTTAGTTTAGGTTTTATCATATCAATTTGTCTTTAGATTATGGCCATGTTTTAAAGTTACTGTATCACCCACCGCAGCAAAGAATGTCCAATCTCGTCTTTATTGTTATAGTTATTTACATGTTGTCTCTTTAGAAATGTATAAATTTTCTATGTTTCATTTGTGAAGATATTTGAAAACAATCATATAGTGCAATAAAAGTGACTGCTAATATAACTAAATATGTCGCGATAATATGTCCTGGTAAAACAGAGTTAAACTAGTCAAAAGTGAGTAATGCTGAAGGGGTCCTCCTCCTCCTCCTCCTCCTCTCCCCTCCCCCTCCTCCTCTCTCCCCTACTCCATCACCTTCCTCCCTCCTCCCCCTCCCTCCTCCTCCCCCTACTACCATCACCTTCTCCCCTCCTCCCCCTCCCCTCCTCCTCCTCCTCCTCCCCTACTCCATCACCTTCTCCCCTCCTCCTCCTCCGCCCCTACTCCTCCTCCCCCTACTCCATCACCTTCTCCCCTCCTCCTCCTCGCCCTAACTCCTCCTCCAGAACCGTCTTCCATTCGATCTCCCATCACCTTCTCCCCTCATCCTCCTCTCATCCTCCTCCTCCTCCTGCTCCAACACCTTTCCCTCCTCCTCCTCCTCCCTCCGCTCACTCCACCTACTCAACACGCTTCTCCCTTCCTGCTCTTCTCCTCCTGCCGCCCCTACTCCTCCTCCATGACAGTCTCATTCGATCTCTCATCACGCTTCTCGGCTTCCCCCCCTCCTCCCCCTCTCCACCTACTCCATCACTTCGTTCTCCCTTCTCCTCCTCCTGCCCCCTACTTCTCCTCCATGACCGTCTTCATTTTCGATCTCCATCACCTTCTCCGCTCCTCCTCCTCCCCCTCCCTCCTCCTCCCCTACTCCATCACTCTCCCCTCCTCCTCCTTCTCCTCCTCCTCCTGCCCTCCTTCCTCCTCCCTGACCTTCTCTCCCCTCCTCCTCCTCCTCCTCCTCTTCCCTCCTGCCCCTCCTCCTCCTCCATGACCTTCTCAATTCGATCTCCATCACCTCTCCGCTCCTCCTCTCCCCCTCTCCTCCTCCCCGTACTCCAATACCTTCTCCCCCCTCCTCCTCTTCCCTCCTGCCCCTCTACTCCTCCATGACCGTCTTCATTTCGATCTCCATCACCTTCTGCTGCTCCTTCCTCCTCTCCTCCTGCCTCCCCTCGCTCACTCCGTCTCCCCCTACTCCATCACCTCTCTCCTCCTGCCTCCTCCTCCTCCTCCTGCCCCCCGCTACTCTCCTCCATGACCGTCTTCATTCGATCTCTCCATCACCTTCTCCGCTCCTCCTCCTCCCCCTCCCTCCCCTCCTCCTCTCCTCCCCCTACTCCATCCACACTTCTCCCCTTCTCCTCCTCCTCTTCCTCCTCCTCCTGCCCCCTACTGCTCTCCATGACCGTCTATCATTCGCATCTCCATCACCTTCTCCACTCTCCTCCTCCCCCCTCCTCTCCCCTCTCCTCCCTCCTCCTCGCTCGCTCCTCCCATACCCCATCACCTTCTCCCCTCCTCCTCCTGCCTCCTGCCCCGTACTTCTCCTCCATGACCGTCTTCATTCGATCTCCATCACCTTCTCCCCTCCTCCTCCTCCCCTCCTCTTCCTCCTCTCCCCTCCTCCGCCCTCCATCCCCTCCTCCTCCATATGGCCGTCTTCATTACGATCTCCATCACCTTCTCTGGCCTCCTCCCCTCTCCCCTCCTCCTCCTCCTCTTCGTCCTCCCGCTCCTCCTCCTCCCCTCTATCTCCCATCACCTTCTCCCTCCTCCTCCGTTCCTCCTCCTCCTCTCCTTCCTCCTGCCCCTACTCCTCCTCCAATGACCGCCTTCATTCGATCTCCATAGCTCAGGCGCAGGTACGTTTTATGTAAACACAGCGTACATATATCTGAAAGATACAGGTCTGGTACATTACTTGTGTATTACTATACAGTATAGATAGACGTACCTCAGCGTACTATATCTGTAGTACCTGATACGACAACGACAGCTGAGTAACAGTCGGAGTGAATTGATTCATCGTGGTGATCTTGTATTGTGCAATGTCATCGATGTGTAATATTAACTAATTTATTATCGATCATTAACGTTTGCTTGATTACATATCAAATGTATGTGCTTGCTCACGCTGACAAATCAATCTAACGTAGTTGGTTTTCACATAAAAACATGTCTACAGAAATGTGTACTGCCTGTATTTCAGGCAAAAGTAAAAGCAATTGTGGCTGGGCAGCCCTACACTTGGCCTGCTATTTCGGTCACGGAGATGTAGTAGGATGCTTACTTCAGGTAGTAATTCTTTTAGTTACATGTACAGTATTTGTTTTCTATGATTGAGTTTGACACTTTTTGATGTGTTGTTTTTTTGAAATGACCACGGACGAGTCATTTCTGCTAACATTGAAAGAGTAGTTTTCTGAGTATCTATATATATATATTGATTGCGAGATTAGGGTCAGATGTGTTCTAGTTTAAGGTAAATACCAACCCTTAATGTTTTAGCTATTGACATTGTTCTCATTTTCTAAAACGTTGCAGAATTCGTGCTGATATCAGGCACTCACCGTGCAGTGAACACACTCTCTTCACAGAATCTAGCTTTCACAGGGAGAGTGAGTGGAGTATATATATAGCATCAAGTATACGACTGTTTAGCAGGTGAACTATAATAAAAATTTGAGCAGTTAATCCAGTATTAAACATTTAAGCACTGTCTCTGCTTCTATTATAATGGTAATCAAAATTAATAAGTGAATAATTGCTGATGCGAACTTTTGCAGAATATTGTATGATCGATGTTGCTCCACTACAATGCAGATGTGTCCAAATAAAACGGAGAAGGACAAACGGCAATAGACGTAGCTAGAAACCAGGAGGTGAAGCACATATTGCAAGTAAATTAAAATTAATGAAGTGTTTCACTGCACAACTGTTGCGAGTGTAGTGCAGGGCTGTCTAGTCTGTGTGAAAACTCC